ACTCGGGACTACGAGTCTACCTTCACACAAATGTTGAGTATAGGTCGAGAATGGGTCCATGGGGCACAAAGTTGCGCCAAGTGCTGGTGGTCGTGAGAATCCATGCGCAAATGAGCTCCCTGCACGGCGTGCGACACATTTTCAAGGAGGGTGTGTCCTACAAAGAGAGGTATGTGAAAACGAGAGAATGTCGTTGGGCCCAACCCTATTTCGCGCCCTATATCGTTTTGCTGAGGTATCCCATTTATATCCTAAAGTATTCCACACAGAAGTAACGCAAAAATTAATTTTGTGTTAAGGAATAACCTCGTTCTTTAAATTAAATTATCGCCCTTATTGCGGTGGGATCATCTAAAAGTTCATCCAATGTATATGGTAACATAGCGCCTGATATATAGGCAACATCTTGCCTGCAGTGCTTGCGTGTACTGAGGGATGGCCTACCTTGAGTCTCGCAGGCGCTGAGCTCCGCTGAGCTCTCGTGATTTGCCGAACGATCAAATGAATCTTAGATCATCAAAGATAAAATAAGATGGGGGATTACGCCCATCACATCGCAGGGTGAGCGGACTTTTGTCTTTTGTCTAGAGATGGTTCGGGTGAAGCTGCACGTGGCCGTGTCGATTGTAGCTACAACTGTGTAGCTACAAAAAGGGACGTTGGCCCTTGGCTCACTATCCTCACCTGGCGCAATATATACTTGGTTCCACTAACTAGCGCTGTCCTTAACGATATTAAAGTCTACCGACGCCTTACACTACGTATGTATACTTATGTTTAGCCTTAGTCTGAAGACACAAAGTCGTACCGCAGGCTGTTCTGGCTGGTGCTCGTACTGTGCTGCGGCGGGGAGCTCATCAGCATCTGCGTTCGCCAGTGGTCTGACTACCGACGGGCTCCTACAGAGACGGTTCTGACTGACAGCGCCATCAGCATCAGTGGCCAACCCTTCCCTTGCGTGGGCCTGTGCCCCGCGCACCAGATGGACGGGAGGGTCGCCATGCGCCTGCTGCGGCAGTGAGTCCGAGTTGTTGGCCACCACCACCACCGTCCGGGGAATGCCAGGACGGCGGCGGTGGATGACACTTTTCCTCATTTTTCAAGTATTGGCTTGTAAGACAACGAGCTTGGTCCGGGGAGAGCAAGTTCGTTTGTCCGACCAGTTTTAGTCCGACCTCGGAAAAATGACGGTTCCCCGAAAATAGTACATTTGTAGTACAACAGTACATATATATTCAACATGAGCTGAGAGTGCATTTCCACGGTCGTAGGCGAAGTGAAGAATGCGCGTCTCCCTACAACCCGTTTCCGAAATCAGCAAAATGTAACCCTTGTCCTGGGTCTGCATGTCGCGCCCATCGGCTGCGTCGCACTAACTGCGCAGCGACTGCATCGCGTGCATGCCGAGGAGCGAAGGGCCCTATCGCGTGCAACATCCACCTGACGTGTTGAGAACTGTGCGTCTGCTCGGTGTCGTTCACACGTCATTGGCGCGTCTGTTCTGTAGGGCCTCTGACGAGGCGAACGCGTCCTTCTTTGGCG